GGTGGTAGAGAGTAAGGTTAGAGCAAGAGGTATGTATATTGGGGGGCGGAGGTATCTGTGTCTTTTAGAGCAAAGGGGTTGTTTAAGAAACACTGACAATGGGGGAAATTTAGAGGTCACCCTTTTTGATCTGAAATCCCTACCTGAAACAAGGCAGTTTCTTTTAGTGATCCCAACATACATCATGTGCCTTCTGCTCTCAACCTGTTTACCGATATGGCCTATTTTATTTTTAACCTACTGGAATATCCTCTCTCTTCTTCATCCAAAGCATAAAAATCTGTTAAGGATTTACACACGATCCACGTACTTGATATCTACTTTCACAGTTTCAACACATCCTGAATTCTTTCATTTCTGGAATGAATTTCCCATATAGTTTTTTAATCATTTAGATGAAATGAGAGTATTTTTTTCCCACAATATTTATAAAAAACCTTATTTTTTTATTTTTTTATTTTTATTTTATTTTATTTTATTTTATTTTTGTCCTTTTTGAGACCGGTCGCACCGCGCTCAGCCAGTGAGCGCTGTGAGCGCACCAGTCGTCCCTATATAGGATCCGAACCCATGGCGGGAGCGCTGCTGCGCTCCCCGCGCTGCTGTGCTCCCCGCGCTGCACTCTCCCGAGTGCGCCACGGCTCAGCCCTGTAAAAAAGCTTAAAATCAAGGATTATTTCATGCATGTTTTTGTATGTCTTGAAAAATAATAGAAAGACAGGTACTAATTGTTATTTCAAAAAGTTTGACCTGGATTACTGAGTCCTGAAAACTTTCCACAAACAGCCTAGACATTCTAACATATGTCTAGAAATGCACTTCTCCTGAGGGCCCCTGTAAGAACAGTGTCTGGCTGAGCAGGAATGTCCTTGATGTTTCAGGAATCACTGACATTTCAGGATGTGGCTGTGGACTTCACCAGGGAGGAGTGGGAACAGCTGTACCCTGCTCAGAAGAACCTCTACCGAGACGTAATGCTGGAAAACTACAGGAATCTGGTTGCACTGGGTAAGGATGGTGTGTCCCTGTGAATGTAGAAACCATTAAAATGGGTTTATTTCCTGAAACAGTAAAAGCCTCCAAAGCTTTTGTGAATATAGTTTAGGCCAGGACGGAAGAATACTAATCAGTTTTGGAGGCAGAGATTTTTGTTTCCTGCTCTTTCTCCTCAGCTACCAGGTCTTGACTTTGTTGAGTTTGAGATGGGTAGCTTTATTTTGCTGCCTCTGAAGCTTCCCCTTTCTAAACCCAGAGACCTTAAAGACTAAAAAGGTTGGAAACAGATTCTGAGAGAGATTTTTTTTCCCAGCATAAATTCCTAAGATGTACATTTTTCCCATGAATAGGGCATCAACTTTATAAGCCAGAGGTGATCGCTCAGTTGGAGCAAGAGGAGCAGTGGACAATAGAAAGACACAGCCCTGTAGACACTCATCCAGGTGAGAAGCAAGCATTTGAACATTTGCTATTCGGTGAGGGCAAATAGTCACTTTTGAAATACTTAGTGGAGTGTGCTCCAACAATCTTCCTCTGGGATTTAAAAAATACTGAGGCCTTTGAAAAAATTCATTTTATATTTGATTTTTTTCCAAAGTGGAAATGATTCTCTTATTTTTTTCTAACTGAACAGATAATATATACTTACTTATTAAGAAATAAATTGGGCGCTGGCCAGTTAGCTCAATTAGAGTAGAGCATGGTTAGAGTAGAGCATGGTGCTGATAACACCAAGGCCAAGTGTTCGGATCCCCATACCAGCAAACCACCAAAAAATAAATAAATAAATAATTGAGGAAATTTTACATAATTCAAACGTTATTTTGAAGGTGTCAGTTTAAACATCCATAAATACCTTCATATTGTAGATCTCCACACAGCATTATCTTTGTACTTTTTATTCAACATTTTCTCTCAGTATTCCTTAAATCTCTTTTCCATATCAAAAATCCTCTGCCATTTTCACCTACTTTTCATTTTTTCTTTTTTCTTTTATTATCATACTCTTTAAACTTGTTGTCTACAACCCACAGTCTCATTCTAATTCTCTTGCTCACCTTTGAGATATGACCGCTGTCCTGCCTGTACTACTAAAATTGTAGCACAACTTTAGTTTTCTTGGGGATTACCATTAACTTTCTTCCAGTCAAATCCAGTGGCTAAAAAGCCAGTTATGGGGCCGGCCCGGTGGCGCACTGCTACAGTGCGCCGCTTGGGAGCGCGGCGGCGCTCCCGCCGAGGGTTCGGATCCCACGTACAGACCGGCCGCTCACTGGCTGAGCGAGGTGTGGGCGCAGCACCGAGAGTTGCGATCCCGTTGCAGGTCCCGGTCGGGTAC